CAAGCAACTTTCTCACTTCTTTACGCAGCGCCTCTTCCTTTTCCTCCGACAGCGGCCGCCTCTTCTGTTGCACGGGGCGCACCCCCTTCTCGACCGCCAACCGATGCACCGCTATTTCAGGGCTCACCCCCGGCATTTCGCGTGCGCTCCAGGCGAAAAGGTCTGCAAACTCTTTCAGCAACCCCACCAGTGACTCGGCTGCCTCACCACTTGTATGTGCGGAGATACGCACACACCTCTCCGGTCGTCCGTCGTCCAGAGGCACTTGGATCTCTGCATCAGCCGCCTCCGCTCTCGGTAAGTCTTCGGGTCGCACGTCTATGTTGTACATCCGCATTCTTTTAACGAGCCGGGCCTCCTGCGACGCCTCGCCCCTGGACACTCCGACCCCCTTCGGGGTTACAAATTTCAAGACTTGGTGGCACGGCGACGCCACCCCGTTAAACAGGGCTAGGAGTGGGCGCCCCAGGATGGCGTTGTAGTTGGAGGGACAGTCGACGATGCCAAAATCGACAGTGTGCGTGACCCGATGCTCCTCCTCCCCTAGCGTGACGGGGAGACTCACGCGCCCCACGACTTGCGCCGGCACTCCGGAGAACCCCACCAAGACTGTGTCCGCCGGCCTCACTATGTTTGGCGATAATTGCATCTTCTCGAAGGTGGACCGAAACAGCACATCCATTGAGCTCCCCGTGTCCACCAGCATCCTCTTTACCTCGCATCCTGCGACCACCCCCCTGATCTCCAATGCCTCGACCGACGGGATCCGGCACGCCTCCTCCGGAGCTTCGTTGAAGTGGATTCGCACAGCGGCGCGCGCGCTGGCGGTGGCCGACCTAAGCCGCCTTCCTTCTTCCAACGTCTGCCTCAGATCCACGGTGCCGGTGATAGCTTCAATCGTCAATCTCACCCTGGCGGGGTTGGTCTCAGGTTCAACTTCGAATGGAGGGGGCGGCAATCCCTCGCCTCCGCCCAACGCTCCAATCCGGGCGTCGTCCGTCTTCCCTTCCTCTCCGCTTCTCGGAGGCGCTGCCACCTTCTCTTCTTGCGCCATGAATGTTCGCTGTGCCCTGTCCTCCGCCTTTTTCACAAAGTCGTTCAGCATCCCCTTGTCCACCAACCCCTGAATCTCCGACTTGAGTTGGTAGCAGTCGGCCGTGTGGTGCCCCCTCTCGCGATGGAACTCGCAAAATCTGTCTAAGTTCTGCTCATTCGGGCGCCCCCGCATGGGGCCAGGCCAGCGCAGGTGGTACCCCTTGTCCCTTGCATATTGCAGTACATTCCGCAAGGTGTCGTTGAGCTCGGTGAAGTTCGTCACACTCCTGGGCGGAAAGCGTGGCGGCTCGAGTCGGCGGGCACTCTGGGGATAGCCCTGTGGGACTGGCGGGGCGGGGGGCGGACGGGTTGCCCGCGCCGCCTCGGTCTCGTCGGGGCGTGCCTCCCTTCGCTCCATCCTCCTCGCCGCTAACGTCTCTTCCAGCATGATGACTTTCTGCACCCGACGGTCCAAATCCTCCGTGGACACCACATCGCGCTTCGAAAGCGCCCGGCAAAGCTCCTCGCTATTGGTGCACTCGTCCAAGCAACAGCCCAGGACCGGGGGCTTGACGTCCTTGACCGCCATTGCTACGGACATCCACCGCTCATAGAAATCTCGGAGCGCTTCGCCCTTTCGCTGCCTGACCTTAAACAACGCGCTGATTGTCAGGCTCCGGCGCTTCCAGCTGGCAAACTTGGAGAGGAACATGGCCGCGAATTGCTCAAAGCTATCGATCCTTCCTTCTTCGATCTGATGATACCAGTCCAGCACCACGCCGACAAAGGTTGAGGGGAAGGCGCGACAGAGCGTGGCGTCCGAGCTATTGTACAATTGCATCTTGGTGAAGTAGTTGTTCAGGTGATCTTCCGGGTCGGTCGTGCCGTCGTAGCTGGGTAGCGCCGGTATGACCGAGTTTGCTTGCTCCGCCAGGACGCTTCGCGCTAGCGGCTGGCGTACTCCCCACGGACGCCCCAGGCGCCTGGGCGCCCATGCGTTGCGCTCCTCGTAGTCCGGCGCCTCGTGCCGTTCCGGGTGACCTGCGTCTTCGGTGCGTCTAAACGCGCTGGTCATCCCCTCTTCCTCGTCTTCGCGGTCCCTCTTCCTCCCGCCGTGGGGAGGCGCGACGCCCCCTCCTTTCTTTAGGGCCTCCACCTCCTTCCTTAGAGCCTCGAGCGCCTGGGCCTGCTCCTCAATGATGCTGATCAGGTGTTCCTTGGTCAACGTGTCCCCCTCCGAATGTGCCGTTCCTTGCGCCTCTTCATCTCCTCCCTGCGCCTCCTCAGAGGCGTGGGGTGCCTCCTCCGAGTCAACATCGTTCAGGGCGCGATTCCCCTCGCCTTCCCCCTGTGCCGCTTCTTCCATCATCGTGATGCTCGTAGTGGTTATACCCCCCTACCTGGCGCGCCAATTGTTTGTGCCACGTACGCCTTGCCGCCGGCTGATCCCTCGAACCCTCTGGACTTTCCCCACGCTTCGCCCCCACGCTTCCCTCCTGCACACAGCGAGGCGCCCGAACCCCTTTGCCAGGGCTCGTTAGCACTCCAACGCCCAAGTCACGATGAATTCTAGAGAGAGAGGTGAGATGTAAGTTTTAGAGAGAAGTTATGACCTGAGTCAATGAGCTTCACCCACTTCACTATTTATACCCGAGGTAGGGCCGACCATTGCCCCCCAGATCCGCCCTACGTCATCTCCTCATTAAATGCACTGTACCTTACTCCTTCCTGGCGCCCCGACACTCTGACACCGGTCGGCGCCACCGAGACGCCCGGCCCTACCCTTGTCTCCTCCGTACGCTTCTGACCGTTACCCCTTCTCCTTGTCGTCATGCGCCCCCTCTTGGGCCCGGACTCACCGCTTGGGCCCTGGCCTCTGGTCCGCCCTTGGGCCATACCTCTTCTTTGCCAGGCCCATAGTCATACTGGCCCTTCAATTGGGCCTTTCTTTGCATGCCCCCCAACAAGTTTTAATCTGTGTAATGCAAATAGGTGAGATATTGAATATAATAGTGATAATATAATACAAAAACTTGTGTAATGCAAACATATGAGATGTTGATATAATAGTAATAATACATAAATTTGTGTAATAATACAGAAGTTTTAGTTAATAATAAGTGAATTAAGTTATAAAAAATATCACATTCTGATGAGATGGTCAACAATTATGTAAAAATAATTGATCTTACAAAATCTTTGTGTAATTATCAACAATTTAATTCATACCATATTTTACAGTTGTTTAAACCATTGAATAACTCAAACCACCACATAATGCACTCTCAAGACTTCACTGCAACTACATATTTTCCTTGTTTATGTTCTCCCTATTGCCTGCGTAGAAGAAGTGAATGGCTAATCAAAGAACCAAAAGAGCAGGGAAATAATAGGCAATCATCATGTCGTCCTCTCTCTGATTTGGAAGTGATATAAAGCCAATTTCCAACAGTCGAAATCTGATGATGAACTGAAGACGGCGACTTTTGGTGGTATGCCAAATAGAGACTGTAAAAGTGTCATGAAGAAATCGGATGAACATAAATGGTCTAAGAATTCGATCCATAGCAAATCTTTAATATGTGTTGTGATTATTACTAATAAGTAATAATTCACAGGCTTACAACTTCTCTTTATCGCATCCGGCATCCGGGTATTTTTTAGGATGGTAGCGAATTTACCCGACAACATTTATTCCTCTTCTTCTCAGTGAATGTATCAACATGGACGACCAGTCGGGATAGCGATATTGGGGTGGGGATTCAAGCAAGATGAGGCCTGATGCTACCCAGGAAACCAACTTCGTATGGATTTGATTTCATAGAGAAAAAAGATCCAACTCACCCATGACTTCTACTCAATTTTGCAGAGAAGAAGCTGAAAACACCAGCTATCGTCTTCTTTCGAAAACTCTCCAGGGAGGAAAGGAAACATCATAAATGAATTCTTTTTCTTTTATGTTGATGAATATGGGGCTTTTTAATTGCCATTGGGTGGACGACAAATGAGAAGGGAAGGGGGTTTTCACTTTTCAGTTTTCACAATATGAAAGAAAAGTTGACTGGGGAAAAGGAACGAAAGAGAGAGGAAGGTGGGGATGCACGGAAAAAGAGGTGTTGTGGATTGGTGAGGTAGTTTGTATATAAGCCTATTCATGCAAGGAAATTTAAAAGCAACCAACGGTCAGGCTTTCCTTGCCCAATGCACAGAACCCAGACGTACATGAAAACACCCGCATGTGATCATAAAACCCCCTCCGTGAACAGTAAACTCCGACTTTTTCTTAAGGAACAGTCTCCGACTTTTTCTTAAGGAACAGTAATTTCGATTTATAGTAATTTTTTTGAACTTGGGACTTAATAATTCTAACTAGTTGTATTTCATGTGTACCTCACTTCTGTAAGATATATGCGCCCAACTTATTGTACAAAATATCTGATTATTTTCCATTTCAGTCAAAACATATAAGTTGGAAAGAGGAAAGGAAGAGGAAATATCTAGCATGTATAGGTGGTCAACCATTAGTCGGTTATCGGACTTAAAAGATAATCGAATTGATAACAATGGTCAATTGTAAATCGATAATTAATTTTAGTTGTTCAGTTTCAATTAGCTATATTTTGCTTAGTGGTTAACTAATAGCAATCTACTAGTATAACAACATAGTTTTTGGTTTTGCCTGACAGGAAAAGTCCCAAGACTCAAAACCAATCCATACTGCAATACCAAACATCTCAATTCACATATTGCAAACAAACATCCACCCAATGTCTCAAATATGTTTTATTGCCATGCCAATTGCTAATTCAATCCATAACAGACCGTCGATAAGTCTTGTTGACTTGATCCTCCGTATGCAGTTTTTGCTAAGTGGTTAGCTTGTAAACGTCAATTAGTATATCGCACCCTTAGTCTGGGGTGCACAACATTCTCATTTTGATTATCCGATTCGTATGAGGATCAAGTCAATAAGGGTTCATTGTACTTTTACCTAGCTCTGCAGTCAAGCTGTCTAAAGTAGTAAATATCGACTGAGCTTTTGGATGAGTTGAATCCCCAGAGGTGAATACATGAGTTGTATCAGCAATGTTCACCCAGCTGCAACCAGCAAACTTCCTGGTTTCCTTCTCCTTCATCTCCTTCCTTACCCTTTGCATCTCCCCCCAGTTACCTTCCGTGGCATAAACATTGGCCAACTGCACATACCGACCTCCTCCAGTATCCATTCCCAGCTCGAGCATCGTCTTCTCCACCTCCCTTGCTAACAGTACATTCTTGTTTATCTTACACGCATTTAGAAATGCCCCAAGGACTACACCACTTCGTTTTTCTTCCTTTGGAATTCTTTCCATGAAGGATGCTGCCTCTTTCAGTCGATTAGCCCTTCCGTAGAGATCGATCATGCAAGCATAGTGATCACTATCTGGAAGTATATCGTGAGTAGCTGTCATTGAAGCGAAAAACTCTTCACCCAATTCAACCAACCCACAATGGCGACAAGCTGATAAAAGAGCTACGAATGTAACTGCATCAGGTTTAATTCCCTTATTCACCATATACTGGAACAGCTCTATAGCTTCATCTGCGTGCCCATGATGAGCATAGCCGGCCATCATGACATTGTACATGACTAGATCCTTTTCTTTAACCTCAAGAAACAGCTTTTCTGCATACCCCAGACAGCCACATTTCAGATACATGTCTACTACTGCGCATATCATTTTGGCATCCACTTCGGTTCCCGTTCTAAGTGCAAAGGCGTGAACTTGTTTTCCTGAGAGGAGAGAAGCTTGCAGTGCACAGGCACCAAGCACACTCACAAGGATCAAGCGATCGGGACCCGTTGCTTCCTTTTCTCTGAACTCGGTTAGAAGATCGAATACAGCTCCACATTGTTGTGTCTTGACATAACCTGAAAACAAAGATGTCCAAGCAATTGCGTTCTTTTCTATTAAGGAGTCGAACAGCTTGCGAGCTTGTACCATGTTCGCCTGCAATGAGTAACCTGTCACCATCGAAGTGATGGAGAAAGGGCTAGTGGTCCCAGAACCGAAATGCAGCGACTCTGCGTAGTTCATCTTCCCACACTTGCAGTAGACATCAACTATACCATCATGTACAAATGGATTGGTAAGGCAACCGTTCTTTAATACCCAAGCATGGATTTCCTTTCCAATCTTCAAGTTCCTCAAGCGAGAACAAGTAATCAAGAGACTGGCAAAAGTGTGTTCATCATACTCGATGCCTCTTTCTCGCATACGAACAACCAACTTAAATATCTCCTCCGGATGACCAGTTTGAACATAACCCCAAATCAAAGTATTCCAAGAAACTGTATCGTTCAACTCATTCTCCATCGTGAATACTGTATCAGCCATTTCCATTTCACCGTGTCTACAGCAGGCTGCCACAAGGGTATTCTTGGTCACTGAATCAATAACATCCTCTTCGCACCCCTCGAAAACCTTCCAAGCCTCTTCAAAGCATCCAGATTTCGAGTACATGTCAATCAAAGAACTGGCGGCAAACCCACTCAGATCGTTACCCGTCTTCACCATGTGGCAATGCAGCTGCTTGCCAAAGCAAATCATAAACGACTTGGCACACATGTTGATCATAGTGGTGAGAGTAACCTCGTCGACTCCAACCTCATCAGGGCGACTCCACATATCAGCAAACAAGTCCACTGCGAGACTCTCAAACCCACCAAATCGAACGTAACCAGACAGGAGGGAGTTGTAGGTGACGGAATCTCGCTCCGGCGCGGAGTCAAAGAGAGCTCTCCCTCGGGCCAAGTCGCGACATTTAACGTGGGCGGATATGATGGTGTTCCAAGAGAAGAGGTTTCTGCGAGGCATTTCGTCGAACAACTTCTGGGCATTGCGGATAAGACCATGGTTGGAGTACAGATGGATGAGCTGATTGCAGATGAGAACCGGCAAGGGGAAACCGGCCTTGACGGCGCGGCAATGGGCAGTGAGGTAGTGTATGAATTTTGACGAGTTGGGGCCCTTCCATTTCATGCATTACAGCCAGAAGAGATGCAACCAAGAGGAAGAGTTGCGTCGCTCTTGTTACACTCCGCGCGCCACTCAGATGGAAAGAGTTTTACGCGAGGAAATCCGACTGTTGGCGGGAAAAAGAAAACCTTGGAGGGGAAGGCAGGATAGGCGTTGGGGAAAAGGGTAAAATAAAATTTAGGGTTGAATTGATAATTTCGGAGAAGTAAGTATTTAGTAGGTCAAATAGGCAAATAGTATTAAGGATGGCATACAACAGCCTATTAAAAATCATGAAATTGTTATGGGAGTACCACATCACGAATACTAACATGATACTCCCAAGTTCCGATGTACCAAGTAATTTTTCCTAATTCAGAGCTCACATCTCAATTGCAACATATGTTTGTCGAGCCAGCTCAGTGCCCTCAATAGCTCCGCTAGTCATAGTTTGGTCTAATCCAATAGAAACCCGTATAGGAAAGGGTCAAAAAGTTTAGAGAACTCGATGGGTTTTTTTTTTTTGTATGTTTAGGGATCCTATGGAATCGAACAACCAAATCGAACTATGGTAACTACAATTAAGACATTTGCACATTTAGTTTCGAACTGATCTTCTGACTAGGCATAGTGTAAAAGCTCGTACAGTCGAAAATCAAATCACTTTCCATGCAACTCTGGCCTTGCTGGAGCCATTTGGATTGTCTTTCCTATGCTAAGCTACTTCTTAAACTTCGACACCAAAATCTAAACACATTTCAAAACTGGGGATACACAAGAAAACTCAGTTTCGTCTTACAGTTGGATGAAGAATACTAGAAAAACTAGGTAAATGATCGAGGCCTCGAGGAGGAGAGCATTGTCATTGCAACACTTTGAATCCGAATTACTGGGACACCTTAAAGACGATAGATTAGAAAACCCTATGGCTACACATCTAACAAACTGAATGATGCAAACAGAAACTTCTAAGCTGCAAAACTTTCCCAGGCTGCTCAATACATCATCAGAAAGACAGAAACTACTCTGTTCCAAAATGTATGGCCAAAATGATACAACTCAGGCTCTTTGTACTTACAACAGCACTTACAAGCATAGCAAGTGCAGTCTTGTTACATCATCTAACTTCAGGCTACGTTCTTGAAAATCCTATTTCACCCACAAAATGAAAAGGAAAAGAGATAAATTTTAACCACCAGCCTCAACAGTGGTAGTATTCAACCGAAAATGATCTAAGGTGTGTATTCGGTGAAACCTGTGTGTTAGGGATAGATGTGTCCAATTCGAACTAACGATCTCCATCCCAGGATGATTTTTTAAGAAGGCGTGGACACCCTTAGTCTTTCCACTAATTAATCTTGGGCTTCGCCCGTCCTGGCTTCAACACAACATATAGAAGACCAGCAACGATCAGAAAAGCAGGAATTGTTGTCATGTCGAAAACCACATGCACTTTCCGCTCTGTTGCGCAGTGAATCGGATGCAGAAGAGCATCGGTTGCATTCACTTGCTCAGAAAACCTGCACCACCAACGGAAGTCTACAGCTTAGAAACAACAGTACACCAACAACAAAATTTGCTTCTTTTCATGATTAAACAAATTATGGTATAGGTCATCAATTATTTTTTTATTACTAAAAATATCTAATATAAACCGAAGCCTTAAAGAACACAGTTTCCCTTTATTTATACCAAAGATTATTTAAAAAAAGTAACCATTTTAAGCAAAAACAAACACACCCTAAGTTAAAAAAATAGGGTCCCAAGTGAGGTGAAGCAGAAGCCCATACTTTCGAAAACCATATTTTGCAGCATATTAGCAGACTCGAGAACAATAGAAGTTTCAGCAGTTGAAAATGACTTACACTTTAGTTGCATCCTCTAAGGTAAGAAGAAGTCTCATGGCATCCACATAACGCAGTTCTCCGGTAACAGTTGCAATCTGAAATGCGGGGGCAAGATATCATGACCAGCTAAAAACTGACATATCAGAAAGTGACAATGGTAATGCAATTCTAGATAAGTTGGTATTAGGAAATACTCACCCTTCTCCACAAACTGACAACATAGTTATACTTGTTCACAAGTTCTTTCTCTTCAGAATGGAAAAGCTTGTACGTACTTTTAGCTATTTTAGGTTAAGGTCTTTTTCAGCAGAAGCAACATATAATGGATAATAACAGCACGAAAAAAATATATACTTCTCAAAATCCACACATAAAGCAGAATTTTGAAACAGAAGCAGTAAACAATGGCAGAAGGATACATGTCCTTTCCATGAGTAGACTACGTATAGCAGAATTGACTAGCTGTAGAGACTCCTCAAGCGTGGTGATTATATAACTCCGCGCAATTGTATCCAAATGGAACTGTGAGATGTCCCAGCCTTGAGATGTAATGGAGAATGGATTGCATCCAGCTGACCATATCCAGTCCTGTGAGTTAAGGGGTACAGCAAATTAGAGATAGCAGACTAGCAGCAACCGCTTTTAACACAATAGACAGGAAATTCTGCTTCAGAAGTATGTGCTTAAAAGTATGATTAAAGGTGTGCATAATCTTCTATGCGCATGTGAAACAAAAATAGTACGGTTCCATGGAGTTCAATGCTACAAAAAGGACTTAACAAGTCATTTTCTTTTTCTCGGCAGCTGGGTGGAAAGCTGCTATGATGGGGAGCCATGTAACAATAGCTTGCCTTTTTTAATAAAAATGGGAAACATTTGAAATTTCAAGGTATCATACTTTTAGGTAAAATATTTGAAAAATGGAATTACTAAGGGATGCTTAATGGTGCAAACTTTGTTCTACCTGATGTCAACATGCAGAAAATAGCCACAAACAGAAACGCTTCAACAATCCAAACATAATTACCTCAATTGCAGTTTCATGTGCATGGCTGTAGACCAGATGAAGCGGAAGTAAGCCGGCTAGATGTTCTGAAACAGCAGCCAGAGCAGCTTTTATGGGTCTCCTGAATAATGATAGCGAAACAAGAACCATGAAGATGTGTCGAAGATCAAATGGAAAGTATGCACTAAGCACAAGAAGGCTGACAAGACTTAAAACTACATCATGCTAAATCACTATATATTTAAGAATTGCCTCATTATAAAAGTCAAGTAATCCTTTGTCTAACCTCAAGTCCCACAGTAGTGATTGCCCATTACACTGGAGATGACTTTCCCATGATGATTGCTCGGACTGAACAACAACAATCATGTCAGAAAGCGCTTTTGCCTGATAGTGCTTGTCAACTAATAATGGCTCTCCATGAATAAACCAAAAGATGGGAACTTCAAGTGTGGATCTGGTATGGGCATGTGCTCCTGCATTATTGAAGTTGGGAATAAGAATCAACTTGACTTGCACAAGTGATGAGAAGGAAAATATAAAGTTGATACGACATCATCAATGGACTTGCAAGTTTTTGTTTCTACTTCCTTCGGTTCTAAGACCCTGTTTTCATAGGTCAATGAGATTCTCTTCAATCCATCAATAGTCAGTTTAGTGCCTGACTATGGCTTTCTACAGAATTTGCATATCAGAAGAACTTGAGCGGGAGATCACCTTTTAGAGAACCATGGTCATTCAACTTCTGTAACTGATACTGAAGAATGGAGGAGTCAAGATATGTCCGAATGGTTTTCCTATAAGTTCCATTCACAAGCAAGAGTGGGACAGCTGCAGCTCGTCGTCCCACTGAAAAAGCCATGGCTAAAGCAGGATCCTCTGAAAGCGATAACCTAGATCCAGCTAGAGAATTAGGAACACACACGCTTTTTCTATTACATGAAATAAAGACAAACCAATGGAGAACAAAGAGATTGAGTACATTTATTCCATACAGACTCATAGATTTATGCAAGGGCGATTTGAGAAATTTAGACTTTCCAAAGAAAGGATGTACTTACAAATTTGGGCTGAAGATAGGTTTCTGCGAAGGTAATAACAAAGATGAAAGCCCATCCATGATAGCTTTGAGATCCACGGGTAGTTGTTTAATAGTCCTAACTTTCTGCATGAATAGAAAAGTAATTCAGACGAAGCTTGATCTCCAGTCCAGACCTCCTTGAAAGGTATAAAACATTCAACATACCTCTTGTGTTATAAAGAACAACTGAAATGATATCTTCTCATAGTGATGGAATGCACCATCAGCAATCGAAGGTGAGATTATGTGGCGCATTGACCCCCAAAGAGTTGAACCTAAATGTGCAAGAAAGGTATCTCGTGCAACAGTGTAGTTCTGGAAATCCTGCTCGGAGAAGTAATATAGAACATCAGAAAATGCTACTAATTGAGGCATAAGCATCCTGCAAGCATATAGCAACAAACTAAAGCACTGGCATCCTAGAGAGATGAGGAAGGCAACTCATGTAGACAAGAACTAGGTAACAGACTTAATTAACAAGACCAAACTCCATTTTTACATCCAATACTGACTACTCACTTTGATTTAATGGGTTCATCAAATGAACTTTTTACTCTCCTGCCGCTTAAGCTCATCTTTGTGAAACTTCAACATATATATATCTATAAATTCTCTTAACTTCATCAGAGCTATTTTATAAAAAAAAAAAATCTTAACAAAATAACACAATGGTAGTGCTAATTCAGCAATAGATCATGGTAGAGACATTCAGATTCTGCTCCTGAATCTAAATCAAAGAAGAGACTACTTGTAAAAAGCCAAATCAACATACCTCCTGGGTGTCGGTGAAAAGATTCCAGTTTTCCATTCGTTTCAATGCCTCCATGGCCTTCTTCTTATGACTCTCATCATTTTCTTCACCTTCTAAGGACTGAAGTTCATTTTTCAAGTCCCTCATTCTCTCATCAAGCTCTGAGACCACAAATATAAGATAGATTGTAAAACAACAGCAACACAGCATTATTTGATATATTATACTTCAAAATTTATGACAGTACAGTCTGCCATCCATTTCATTGAACAAACTCACGCTGCAAGCAAATTAACAGAGATAAAAGAGACAAACCTTCACAAAGTGCTAGCTTAACTCTTCTTCTTTTACAATGCTTGAAAGCAAAAAGCTCATAGATATCAATTTCAGCAAGAAGGATATCAACTGCCTGGTGATCTTTCTGCAACATTTCGGAAAAAGATTAACTGGCTCAGATAGCTATCACGGAACTCATAAGACTTCTAACTAGATATAAGATCTTGTACAAAAAGTGAATACAAGGCACATATGCAAGCGCGGCCACAAACTTAGAAATATGTGAGCAATTGGAGGTAAGCTTGTGCAGATCTTTTCTCTAATGGTTCAAATGATATCTCCCCCACCAGAATTGAACCAATAAGCTCAGCCACACGATTTCCTTTTCGATTTATCAATCACCCATGCAATGTTTTTAGGATTGCCAGTAGTCAACCAGTTACTACTGTCTCAGAGAGTTAGGGTATGACTTTGAACTCAGAAACAAACAACTGAAGCAAATATTCTTATTCAATAAATCAAACATACATCACCAAATATAGCAAACTTTTCCTGGATTGCTTCTTGCAAGCGATCTTCAGCTTCATCTTCAGAAATTTCTGGATCACGCAGGAGAAATTAGATACAGTATAAACTGACAACTGCAAAAGAAAGCACAGGCACATACATATTGCAGCTCTGCAAGAACAAGCCAACAATATTAAGCGACTAGATTGAAGAAAAGGGAGAGAAGGCACTTGGAGAAGCATACTAGAGTGTACAAAAACTAACAGCATTTCATACTAATACCAATGAACACAACTGACAATTCAACTCAAAGTACAGTGTGAGAGTTATATCTAGTTACTCCTTATTTGATCCATAATGTTCCCATAAAACATAGTTTGCAGATGAGCTAGGTTACTGAACATGCTATCAGCAGAAATTTTGGGGAGGGGGGTGGCCCATCCACATTACCTGTAACAGCACCAATTGTTTTTCCACATTTGGCAGACTAAGATCTGTGCGAACGCCTTCCCCACCAACAGCAGGACCCCATGCAAAAGGGCCAGCAGATAGATCGATGAAAGCCCACCTGGTGCAGAAAACAACAATAATTGAGCCTTTACAATTCCATGTGGAGGTACATCAGTATGGAAGAAGAGAAATTTGGCACCTGTCCTTCCCGATCCAGGTATCTGTGAGACATTCTGGTTGAACTCCAGCAAGGTCCCCAGCTTTTAGTTCCTTCTCCAAAAGAAGCTTCATGTATTTATTTTTTCCTTTCATAAGCTGGACATCCAAAGAGGATAATTAATACTCATCAAAGAATCAACACACGCTGTTAGAGGATTGTCCAGCTTCTGGGGGGGTGTTCCCAGTCGGCAAAGGAGGGGAGGCTGCTAACCTGCAAAGCTTTGTTCAAGATGATTTCAGAAGTGTCTTTCCCTTGGTTCAACTTTTCAACATTATTGAGCGCATCCAGACAATTGTTATACCATTCGGCCTGAGGTCAATAAAACAATAGTCTAATACACCGTGATAGAAAGTTCACCATGAGCTCATACCTATTTTATGCATTTATCCATGAAATGGCTCATATAATTATATGTAAACAGAAGAAAAAAAGTTGTAAGTGCCAATTTCACAAGATAAACAAAGAAAACACAGACCGTATCAGCATCCTCGGCAACTGTCCAAGCAAATTTCGCCATAGGATGCTTTTCATACAAAGGTCTCTTGATCTTTTCGAGTGCTGCAGATTACAACCCGATCATTCCAAATTTGAAGCAAGCATTAAAACAATGATTAAATTTATTGCACCTCTGAATGGAAATGGATACTATAACAAAAGTTACTTCATACCAAGGACACTTTCTGGAACATTTCCCGACTCCAATATCTTCGTCTGTAGATTTTTATCCTGGAAACAAAAGTATATGTCATCGTGAAAGAACAGACTTTAAGAATGAAACATAGACATAATTGTTATGAATCATAGGAGCTTAGCTAAAATGATCCAATGACGCAAACAAGAATATAATACATACCCATTAAAGAATAAATAATAAAAAAACAAGGGGCTCAAATAGAACCCAAACGACAAACCTTTTTCAGGAAATCTATTTCTGACTCCGATAAACCTCTCCTGCAATTCAAATTGAGAAAAACAAACAATAATAAGCAAGAAATGAACAGTATAAACTTAAGCATAATGCCAAACCTAAATGGAAAATCAACAATTTATCAAAAAGAAGTGAAGTACAATATGGACTTTAAGGCAGCTAAGTGGCCTACAACTTAATATTTGATGCGGCTCCACACTTGTTCTCATGACAAAAGAACAAAGAACAAGTACGCAACCTTTCCCTTGAATTCGAAACAACAGAAGAAACAAGTATAACAAATGAGAAGAATGGTAAACTGAATCAAGCTACAATGACCGAAACTAACAAGAATAAGAACAAATGAATCAGATTAAAGCTACACTTGGGGGAAACTGGTGAAGAGAGAGATCATCAAGGGTCCTTACCGGCGAGATAATTTCTATTGGAACTCGATGACGAATTGCTAAACTGAGCACAACAACCAATAATATAGACCAAGAAGAGGAGTATAAGAACACAGACATTAATGAAAGCCAGAGACCTCCACTGCTGCTTGATATTGTACACAAAGGACGCCTGGCACGACTGACAGTCGTAGCACAACTCGTTCTGCTTGTCGCTCCACCCATTGCAGTCTGGATCTCCACCTGCGACGATCCCTTTCTTTGGTGGTATCCAGAAGTCTCGTTCTTCATGGTGAACTCACATGAAGACAGTGGTGTGCAACAGCCAGACTGCACATAATACCATGTTTATGAACTCAATGAACTAAATCAAAGAAAAAAATATGAACGAAAAGAAGATTCTTCAAATTTAATCGAGTACAGTCCTTAAACTACTCTTTTCAATGTACTAAAAGTGATGTTGTCACAAATAGTCTGCAGTCTGTAATATACCTTTAAAATACTCGTTGGTATTGTATAAAGCTCAAAAGAAAAATCTATACCTTCTAAAAACTAGTCGGTATTGTATAAATCTCGAATGAAAATCAGTTCACTGTGTACTATAACAACTAGACGAACAATTTCCTTAAAGACGGTAGTTACCCTTTCAAACTAACAATTTTCAGAGGGTAAATTACACCGTACCTGCTCCTCCAAAGCTACTGCTGCTGCAACTCTTACGCTTCTTCATGGATGCCGAATGATCCACCAACTCACTAACCCATCCAAACCAACCAATAAACCCATATTAAACGCAATCCTGAATCCACCAATGCGGCGGTATGAAACGGGTTGAAGCTGCAGATGACAAGTAACTCCAGACACAGACTTTCTCCCCACAAATCATCCATGAAAGGCATGTTTCCTTGTCCATACCTCCAGACACTAGTGCATCACCAGAAAAAGAGTGGATGCAACTTCAACAGTGGGATCTGCAGACACCAAAAAAGTTCAAAATTCAGGATCCAAATGGTGTACAAACCAACGACATGCTTCTGCAATCTCGCCTGTTCATCACGAACCACCTGGGGGGACTCTCCAACATACACAGGTTTCATTGGATCCACTTGAGTCCTTTTCTAAACTTTTCCAGTCAGCGGAATCCTGTGTGCAATACAAATACACATCTAAATTGTTCAAACTACTCCACACTAAACACCACAATTCAAGCTAGGAAACTAACCAGAGACGAATCGATGTCAAGAATCAAGCAGAATGCATAGCCAAAAATCAAGAGGTAAGTATGCCTCAAAGCACACTAAATTCTTCAAGAAAACCAAACACGTTCCGCAGACACTAATACAGTTCAAAAGCACAGCAAAATCACAGAGTGACAGCTAGCAGTGCAAGCATCTGCAAATCAAAGCTCAAAGGGAGCAAACGAAGGAGAAACCCTACGAAACAGCTCGTAACTTAAACATACAGCAGGGGAAGAAATTTACAGAAACAGAACACACCACCATTATCAAACGTATACCCTTAGGTGATCAGCAAGGATTACTTGGCACTCCATTTTAGACCTAGACAGAGCTAAACTAGATTCTCCAAGCAATAGTTCAATAATCCTAGAAAAATCAGTACCAGCTAGCCAACGCAAGCATCCATAACGCGAAGCTCAACGGGAAACAATTGGACGCAGGAAAACCTCCGGAACAGTTCTGAACTGCAAAGCTCCACATCAGAAGGAAAGTACAGAACCTGAACAAATAAGCGATTAGAAATTAAGTGAGAATGGAAGTACCTGGCCTAAACGGAGAGGCGAGGAGGAGTCCAGGGAGTGGGAGTTTTGGTGGCCAGGCGTGGGTGGGTGGGTGGGGGGGGGGGGGGGGGAGATGAATATGCTGATCAGCTCAAAGAATTTTTATAGAAAATGAGAATGAAAAGATATTGTCATTACTGTCAAAATGATGTTGCTGTATTTTAAACAATAACAATTATCTCTCCTCAACAGACACCGGAAGCCCCTCTTGCTTTAGCAAAGATACTTGTGACACCTTTGTCTTCAAACTGTCAAGCTTGATGAGCACTTGATCCATTTCTATCAATTTACCTGCTTTGGAAAGTTCTCTTGCCAAACCAACATATGTATGTAAACTAAGTGAGTAATTTCTAGACTCCATTAGGTGAAGAAACTTAATGCATAGTTCTGATTTCCCTCCTTTCAGTAGCCCATCAACCAGAACTGTCCAAACAATCAGATCACCACACTTTTGTTCTTCCAGTAAAGACTTCAACAAATCCTCAGCTTCTTCCACACGATTGATTATGCATAGAGCATGAATAAGCACTTTGTAGACAGACAGAGGAGGCTTGAACCCCTCAAGCTTTGCTAAATTAAAAATCCGGAAAGCAGGGGTTACTTCAAGATTCTTACAGTGAGCAACTAGAAGAGAGGAGTACATCTCCATAGTAGGATACATACCCCTCACTTTCATGTATTCTACCAACTGGTTTGCCTCGTGGGATCTGCCGTGTTTACATAAGCCACTAATCAGAGTACTGTACATATCCATTGTCGGTTCAGATCCTATCTCTGATAATCTAGATAAGAGATGACAAATCAAATCAAAATTGGTAACTCTGCTAACTGAGTCATGCAGATAGACGGCCTCATTCTGAGCGACTACTCTTTCTGCACACAATTGGGTTTCCTTTTGCAGTCCTTTCAGTAACACGGAGTAAGTTCTGAAGTTTGGTTTGCAACCCATGTCAACCATCCTTAGGAACAGTAAGAATGCATTATCCATTCTACCAAGCATCACAAACCCATCAATAAGAGCAGTGAATGTAACCTCATCGGGATAAATTCTCTTTCTTTCCATTTCTTCTAGCAATCTCTCTGCCTCATCAGCTCTCCCCTCTTGACACAAGCCATAGATGAGTGAGGTATACGTCTGTAAATTTGGGCTGCAATCATGACTTTCCATCTCGTTAAAAATCTTGAATCCCATATCGGTTGCACCATTCCTACACAACCCGTCAATTAAAGATGTGTAGGTGATGACATTTGGTACCAAGCCTTCAGTTGACATATCAGCACATAGTCTCTCTGCCTCTGAAAACTGATTCTGCTTGGAAAATCCACTTATAATGGCATTATAAGTTTCAATATTTGGAGGAGAACCATTTTCTCTCATTCTCTTTAACAATGCCAAAGCAACATCCAGTTTACCCTCTTTGCAGTAACCATCAATCAGAGCTGTATAAGTCCACTGACCTGGCCCAATGCCACGTTTAACCATCTCATCAAAAAGAGAAGCAGCTGTCTCCAATTTTCCTCCTTTGCAAAAACCTGAAATGAGCTCTGAATAAGTCCATGCATCAGGTTCACAACCAGTGTCCTTCATCATGTCCAGTAACCTCAAAGCATTGTCATGATTTCCCTGTTTAAGGTTCCCAAGAATGAGCGTGTTATACGTCACGGTAGTTGGTGGAGGGCCATCCTTCAACATTTTGTTAAAAAGGAGCATAGATTTCTCAATATCATCCCTGGCACACAACCCCTTAATTATTGCATTATAGGTCTGTGAATTAGCCAGGGAACCATGTCGCTCCATCCAGGCAAAGAAATTAAAAGCAATGTCATACTTCTCTTCAACACACAGTTCACGGATCAATAAGTTATATGTAACGACACTGGGAACCAAACCATCCTTGAACATTTTTTGATAGAGTCCAATTGCAATTTCCATTCTGCCAGCACGAAACAAACCACCAATAAGTGCAGTATAGTTGTGCACATCTGGGTAGCAACCCTTGTCCTTCATACTTCTAAAAAGCCTAACGGCGTCATCTACACGCCCATACTCACACAAAGAACTGATTGGTACTGTATATGTGTGCACAGAAGATTCTATCCTTTTCCCATTCATCTCTTCAAGCATATCCATTGCATCATCTAATCTACCCTCCTTGCACAATCCATTGACCAGAGTTGAATATGTAACCGAATTAGGATCACATCCTTGCTTAATCATCGTGTCGAAAACTTCAAAGGCTTTATCCAGATTTCTGTTTCTACAGTGTCCGAGGATCAAAGAAGTATAAGTAAACACATCAGGGCACATGTCAAGCTCCAAAATCTTGTTCACCACCAACTCAGCCTCCTGAACCAGTCCTTTCTTGCACAGTACATTAATCACCAAATTAAACGTCACCAAACTGGGTGTCATTCCACTTTCCAAAAGCTGATTATACAAGCTTTGAGCTAAAACAACCATACCAAACTTGTTCAACTGAGTCAGAAGAGCATTATAGGTATGGAAACTGAACTGGAAACCAGCTTTTCGTCTAATGTCATTCAGAAACTCAATCACGCTCCTAAGCTCCCCCTCATTTCGACAAGCTTTAATCATCACAATCCTGACCTCATCCGCCTTATTTAAGTATCGGTCCTTTACAAGCCTATTCAACATTGAAACATAACTGGCCACATCATGCTTGTAAAAATGATTCTTAGAGATCCAGAAGAAAAACCTCAACGCGACCTCTGTACTCCTATGGGTGCTGATAATTTCCTTCACCTGAGGAGGCCTTAGGCCGGGGACCAACTTCTTCAGCTCCGGATTATCAGGCCACCGAGGATCGCTGGACAGAAAGTGAATAACTTTTGAAGCCATGTTCGGGACCTGGTAGTTGTTCGCTCCGGAAGAGAAGGGGAGGCAAGAACGGAAAGAGGATTTTGGAAGGGACAATTTGAGTCGAGGCTTTAACATTGCGCCCCCTCCCGGCTGATTACCACAGCCACAAGTTGAATTTTCTGAAGAACAAGGAAAAGTCACGAACTGGAATTATCTTCCGAGGGAGGGCGAACTTAGATTTTGGGAGCATGGTTTTTTCATGAACTCAACTCGGTCCTCTCCTACCCCTTTCAAATCGGCACTTCACTCCAATTTCTGGGGATGCACGAGGGTATTTTGAGTTTTGGTGGTCGAGAATGGAGGCAACGCGGCGGTAAGCGGAGCCCTTATTCATCTAGCGATTGTATTTTGAGATATTTGAATAGCGATTGTACAAAAATGCTTACTAGGTTATTCGAACCCCTGATCTCTCCTAAGCAAAACACAACATAGACTCCTATGGTCAAACTATTCTTATTTCTCCTTGAAGAAAGCCCTATTTATACATTTTTGTCTAGAATTCCTAAGGTGTCATTTGTATATTAAGCAGAAAGTACAATTTGGATTTGACGAGAAAAGCTTCTTATCTAGCTCGAATAGAAGCGAGACTCATTTTTCACGACACAATAGAAAAATATTTTCACAGAACATGGTTATGTATATGACATCTTCAGAAAATTGACCCGGATAAAAACCTCCGTCTAGAGGTTGATGTGGACAGAGGATCCACCAAGATTTTCTTCAACCGATCCCCTATGTGGGATTTTCCAACTTGTGTCGGGGGTTCTTGGAGAAGTGCATGCCTTTCTTTCTGCCTTGATGGATGCTTCTTGAAAGGAGAGGTAAAAGGAATGCTACTTAGTTTTGTTGGGAATGACGAAACAACCATATGTACCCAATAGCATGGGGAACAGTTGCGTATGAAAACGAGAGCTCGTGAACATGGTTTATGTGTACTTTGTAAGAACAACTTCAAGTATAAGACAACAATGGCAATAACATATGATCAACAGAAAGTATTCAATGAAATTGTTTGTTTACCTTATATCATGTAGTGTTTTAGAGGTTCTAATAGTAAGTTTGCCTTGTATCATGTACTGTTTTAAAGGTTCTAATATTTTGTTTGTCTCATATCACTCGGCAGGTTTGGTGGAGGCTTTACATGAGTGTACGCCATATGCAGTGCATAGGAAGTGTGCTCACCATGTCTATGCACACTTCAAAGTGCAAAAAATTGACGTTGTGACGGATCTTTAGTGATAGGTTGTTTATTCAACTAATGAGGATGATTTGAGAGTTGCCACTACTAAGATGCAAGTTCTTAAAGGGAATGTACATGATGATTTTATGGCTACAGAACTGGAGCAATTATGTCAAGTATTCACGAAGACTCATTCAATGTGTTTGGGTGTTTTAACAGTTGGATTATGAAGTTCATGGTGTTGAGGGTGATTTTTATGCTAGAGGGAATTAGGGTGGTTATAATGACTAGGCTAATTGTCAATAAAAGGAAGATGAGTCATCCCATTGTACCGACAAGTTCCCTCCATGTGTGAAGCCCAATGTTGAAAATCACAAGGGTGAGGCTAGAATATGCGTAATAGTCATCCATTCTCAGCTCACAAACACAAGGTTCAAGTCAAGTACATGGGAAATGGTTTGTTGTTGATTTGGAGGCTTGCACTTGCACATGTGGTGATTGGGATCTTAACGGGATACCTTGTTGCCACGCGGTTAATGTCGTACGGTCGATGAGGTTTGATGTGCATCGTTATGTGGATCAGTTCCTTAATTTGGAATATGTAAAAAATGTCTTCCGGTACCCAATTCTAGATTCAAAAGGCCCACAAGCAGACTAGGGCAACATCTCATTTATTATTATTGTGTTTTCCACAATTTTCAGGTGGGAGTTACACATTGCATGGTCGTGGAAGTATCTCATTTTATTACTTACACCGTACTTAAGATTATACCGAATATTAGTGGTAGAATACTTTTTTGTACTAAAACTATGTACATAGGCGCTAGATAGTGCTTGGGCCGGCACTATACCAGCATACTACTTGGGCCGGCACGACGACCCGAAGGAGAGGAGCAGGATCAAGAAGTTGTTCGAGAAAGCCGAGCTTTCGGCTTCCTCATACAACACCGCATGGGTAGCGATGGTTCCTGCTCCAGCAGCTTCTAGTACTGATCGTCATCAAGTCCCTTGTTTCTATCACTTGCCTCCTCTTAGAGTATATAATTTAGATAGATGTGTATCATATCACTTGCCTTTTATTGGATATTAAACTGCAGGAGGAACCAGTAAAATGGGGATGATACTTCTGCTTTGACTCAAATTGGCAAAAACATGAGAATGTACCTCTCCAATTGCTAAGAAGTGGCAAAGAGATCATGTGCCAAGTTTGGAAGTAAAAACTAAGGCTTATGCAGCTAGGCTATTATCTTGGAGCAGTGAGACTATTAGAGACACATGATAAGGAAAAGAAAGATTGAACGTGCATTAGCTCAAGAAAAATAAGACAATCGTCATTCGTTTGAAGGGCATCGTAGAAGGAATTTGAATGAATTGCTTCATCGAGAAGAAACTTATGTGGAAGTAGAGGTTAATGACATATTGTTCGAAAGAAGAAGACATGAATACCAAGATCAAAAGGTAACCAAATTTTAAAACTAGGGCTTTTTTCATATTTGGACATAAAAATGGATAAAGCGACTAACATATCTTATTTTTCCAATTAAGTGTTTTAGTGGTTCGGAATCAAACTTTAAGTTTATTGTGTCCGATGTTATTGAGTAGAGTGATCATATTCTTCATTAACTTATTCACAACTCATCCAATTAAGAGAAACCCAATATCCAAGATTTTTCAAACAAAACACCGTATTCTGAGATTACATGGACAAACAAACTAGATTTGGGCCCCGTTGGACGGGTACATTTTCTAAATGACATGAACAACAATGACATTGTTGCAAATATACATTTTTATTAGGTATTATTAAAGAATTCAAATAGTTTTATTATTGGAAAATAAAATATGAACATACATTACAGAGTTTTTATGTCATCCTAATTGATTTCTCAATGTAAGGATGGAAGTAAAAACTAAACTCATATAAAGAAACCGACTTCTAAGTAAAAACGCTTATTAAACCAAACATAAACCGGGATTTGTATCATCAATATTCTTTTCCTTCTAGACAACACTCAATAGTGTCATCTCGAATATTGGATTCACTTTCTCCATCATTAGCACTATTATTCTTCTCCATTTCATTGAGAGCAATAAATAATGGTAAACTATTCATAAATATGATACATCATTTTCACGCAAATAAAATTGATCCCATCTAAGTCATGAGTATTGTCGACGATTTGTTGTGTTCTTGTCATTACTGAAACATATATCCACCATAAATAATCTCTTTCGTCTTCTCAACAACGTCATCATTTTGATTATAGGATCCACTCCCTCTCTCACATTTAATTGAAATAAAAAATTGAATGGTAACATATTTGCAAATATGAAACATAATTTGCGCGCATGTAAAATTTACCTTGTTCAGGTTTTGAACATTTTCTGAGATTTTCTCTTTAATTCCTTTTTATATTCAAAACTGGGTAATTACTTATGGGGTTCTTGATGTTGTAGTCGGGGAGCTTGATGTCGAACTTGAACTCCATTTCTTCAATTTGTAGGAGAAGAGTAGACGCAAGTCCACTCATTCTGTCATTATCTTGTAATATTTTTCTTAGTCATCATTTCGAAAAAACTGGCTCCCTTCATCAAATTTTGGTGGACATGTTTTGGATAAATTATAACACCACCCATTTCTAGCTTTGACAACTTTGCATTGGATGAAATAGCAATTTTAGTAAATATTCGAGAAGAATTAGCATTTGAATATTAACAAATTTTTAGATTGAAACTGATATGTACCTCCACACTGTTCCTCATTTATAATTCATTGAGCTCTTGTTATATTTTGATGGAGATTGGTGGTTGAATTTCACATTTGACTCCCATTAGAGGAAGTGATGCATCTGCATCCTTTTTATTAAAAAAATTATTGTGAAACCAAAATTTGGGTTTTCTTAACTCCAAACTTATAACCCAAAAATTACATAGATTCAAATAATATGAATTTCAACTTGACCCAAAGTCAATATGTTCCCAGATTTGTAGATTCATCAACAATAATGTAGTTATACATGAGAACGACTCTCATTTGTAAATTTGGTTGTCCATTAATTGACCAATATTAATTTCATAGCTAATAGATGCACAGATAAGATATTAAAATATGTTTCTTTACCATTGTGTTAAGAGATAAATATTAATGTAATGACCAGGATGAGAGGTCGCTCACCAATACTTGCAAGAATGACATTTATTTTCTTGTCTATCTTCAAAGCTCCTCGATCTGTGACAAAAGACATGGAAAGAATAATGAGGAATTTTATGTGGAGCGGGGCTGGTGATAATCGCAAGATGGATCTGATCAACTGGGACATCTGCAAGGCCTTTAAATCTGATGGTGGACTTGGTTTATTTGATCTGCAGTGTTTTAACAGGGCATTATTAGCGAAATGGCTATGGAGATTCATCACGGAAAAGACCAGTTGGTGGCGCATGCTTACTGAGTGCAAATACAGACATAGATATTCAGCTTGGATCACTTGCTCTATCAGTAACGGTATTGGCAATTCTCCTTGGGCTGCTATCTCTAAAGAATACACAAATTTCTGGAATTTTGCCTTCATTGATCCGGGAAATGGAAGCGGTGTCTCCTTTTGGTATGACTGTTGGGCACTTGGAACTGTACTTGCCGAAGCCTACCCCTGAGTTGCTGCTGCCGCAAGCGTCCCTGAAGCTCAAATCGCAGACGTTCTTAACCATTCTGGTGAGTCATTTACTTGGAATATCGAACTTAACTTCAATTTGAGGGGTGGGGCTGAGAGAGAGAGGCAAAATTTACTACTACACATCAATTCTGTGGTGCTCCATAATGCTAACAATAGCCCCTACAGGCCTGTGTGGAGTCCCAAACCAGATTCTTCCTTCTTTATTTCCTCTATGTACAAATGCC